GAATCCACGCGCTTTCCACTCGCTCTCGATACCACGCCCACTCGCTTCCATACCTGGGAAACGAGGGGGATCCCGTGCTTCAGAGCTTTCCGGACCTTCTGTGTATTGTACTTGACGGCGTCAGGCGTGCACAGCACGAAAGACACGCGCTTGTGGATAATGGCCGACACCTGGTTGATGCACGTTCAGAGAAGTTTCGCCGGGGAGCTTTTTCGAAAAAAGCGACAAAGAAGGAATCACAGGTTGTTTGGCTGCGGAGTGTACGGCACAGCGAGGGAGGGAACTGATTGTTGCTGTCAGTTCCAACGACCGCGGGAGAGCAACATTTCAAAACAGGTACACCGTACCTTCTGGGCTTGCGGGTAAGAGTAAGCGGTGCTTGTCACACCAAGATATCGTCTTCGTCAACCTCGTACGTACAGTAGATATTGTAACGTACGCATATTGAGGCGGAGAGATGCCACCCCCCCCCCCTAGGCCAAGTTAAGGAGGGTCTAGAAGTGTACGGAATGTCGAAAGAAGGAATAGGGTTGAAGGGGTACCTACATAGACCAATGGATGCAGGGACAAAGCCGAAGGTCAAATTCATGACCGGGGACATTGGCCTTCGAGAATGTAGACGAAGATATAGGAACGTAGACGATGAAGACGACAAGTTCAAATGTGATTACGGCTCCGAGCGAAGACCGTGTTCATGTAGTTGCGGAATGTCCGTTGTACAAGAAGGAGAGGGGGGTGTACATGACTGAGCTGGGAAAAATAGAAGGAAGGTACAGGGAGATGTTTGAGGCATGGAATAACCAAGAGAAGACGGTAGCTTTATGCACAGGAAGTGGGTTGAAAAGGCGGGAAGTGATATCGATAGGATAGATTGACTACGGGGAGACATTTTTTCGCCAATTTCGGCAAAGTAGGAAGGAACGATTGGCCATCGGTGATCGGTGCTGTGGGAACAGTGCTCCGTCCTCTCGAGTACGCGTGGTCACTGGCCTAACAGCTAAGGCA